CTCCGTGCGCCCCCGGGGCCGGTCCCGCCGCGGGGCTCCGTGCCCCCGGCCGGGCCCGGGGGTCTGGTCTGTGCTCGTATGCGTCGTGGCGGGGCGGGTAGAGTCGGGCAAAGGAGGGTGGTGTGGCCCCGCGGTGCCGGTGCCCCCCGGCCGGCCTGCAGCCGGTTGCGGTGGAAGGGGACCGGTCAGGAAAAGGCGAAGAAATAGCCGGGGGTGGTGGGGGGGTGGTGGGAGAGAATCACGGCTTCAGACCCTTCTCTGTGCTTTGCTGGCGGCACCCCGTAACTTCAGAGGGCAGAGTATCAAGCGCTGCGGGTTGGGAGAGGCTTACGTAAACGAGCCCTCTATTGAAATAAAGATATGAGACATGTCCTCGGGTGTGCAGGCTATTTATAGCAGCTTGCTCGTGATGCTCGCCATTCCTCTGGCACTGGGTATGCGAACTGTGCATAAACAACTGCCCTTCTATTAACTCCGAAGGCTTGGACTCCGACACTTGGACGATAGATCTTGGTGGATTATCGGGTTGACATCTCTGCTGTGGAAGGAAAGTCCACTAGCAAGTTTTATTATTGGGTCAGCTTCCTAACCAAAATCTTGTGTCATTTCTTCCCAGCAGTGAGCCGCTTCTCAGGAATAGCAGAACATTTTCCACTGCAAATTCAAACAGATCCCTTGGCTGATGCACCTTTATTTTAATGGTGCTATGACGATTTACAGCAATAGTGGGTCCCTAGTTTTTCATTTAGTTTTTTCCCCATGGTGTTGCACATCCTTTTTCTGTTTGCTGATGTGCAATACTCCCTTTGCTTTTGCTCTCCCTGGGTGCTTCCCCCAGTCAGACCTCCTGTGGTCCACCTCCATATTCAATCCAGAATACACCTTACTCGGGGCAGAAGAGAGAAGTGGAAGACAAGAACCTTGGTGAAGAACGAATACTTTCAGTGTCAGGTGCTTGTTTCTGTGCTTCCAGATAAGTTGGGCCTTACTTGAGTTAGCAGTCACAGGAAACTGCAGGAGTTACTCTAAAGCTGCCCTGATACATCTAATTCTGTCTTGAGGGCATAGGGGTACCTTAAATGACCTCTCAGGATCCCTTCCAGCCTTACGCAGTGCTCCATTACATTGCTTTGTTAACCCCATCATATTTATGGGTGCAAAAGACAACTTGTACCCAAACAAAAAAAGACACTGAATGGTGATAGACCAGACACCTGAGCATTCATCTCCTCTCCGTTCCGAGCAAGCTCTTCCTCCCACTGTAGATAGCCCACCCTTGGATGCCTGCATCCACCTCCCTGCAGAGCAAGCAGGGATGCTGTTGATACGCTTCAAAGCAGCCTGTGCCCCAAATAGCACATGTCCCAAAGGCACACTTAGCTGAGAACATCAGCGCATTCATACCAAGAATATCGCCCAGCGTCTCCCAGCGTGCTCTCTTCCTGGCAGACTTGATAGAGAAATCACAAAAGCAGTCACGCAGCCTATTCTTACCTCTGCTTTCGTTTGTTTTCCCTGGGCTTTGTATTAATTTAGACACAGGAGTTTCTTGATAGAAAATGACAAGTCACAAGCGCTGGAGGTACCCATTGAAAGCTAATGGCACTTCTGTGCTTTCGCTCCAGCGATTCATTAAGGAGCTGGACTAGCCACTGCCTGGGAAAAGGGCTGATTTGGACACTTCTTTCCTCACTGATTTGTTAAAGGAATGTTAAAACATTCTGCTTGAAGCTTAACAGATGTAGCTTTATTACTTGCTGAATATTTTCTGGAAGGTGTGAGGTTAAAAGAAGAAATTGTTGGAAAATACAAATTAATTAGGAGGTGTCCCTTTGCCTTTACCTTTCCTCTTCATCAGAACAGCTTGAATTAAGAAGATCCCCTTGATTTCAGACAAACTCATTGAGAACTGGGGGGCTTTGAGCTGTTTCTTTGTAGAGCTCTGCATCTAAAAGTAGTTTGTTCATGGTCCAGATACTTCACCTTCCAGTGCCATCTTTTAAAGAGTTAAAAACACTTGTTGAGGTGGGACATAAGCTTTCAAAACCCTGTCAGGTATACTCTGGATACTGCAAGTGGATCATCACTTCCTCTGTGTCCCTTGTGCTCTCTCTGTCCTCTCTCGTAAAACACAGCAGTTTAGTGCAGCTCAGGGGCTGTGCAGCTGGTTACAGCAGCAGTGCCTAGGGAAGCACCCAGAATGCTTGGCTGGGTCCGAACTGGTGAAGCCCAGTGGCAAAATGTCCTTGGGAGAAATTTTGTGTGATCTTCTCAGTGCTACTAATATAGTTTTAAACCAAAAGTGTCTAAATCACAGGGAAAGTAATTGGTTGTTTCATACAAGCTCTGCGCCTTGGGAACTGCATTTGGATGGTGTCTTGCAAAGAATGCGAGAAACATGTCATAGTTCATGGAAGAGCTCAGTAGAGTACATTTTCAGAGCTGCCTAGTAAGTTTGGGTGAGGGGAGTCCAGGGACATTGGCAGCACATCCCGGGTCAGTTTTGCTGCATTCAGGCTGTTTTATACCCCTTTTGGGGTATAAAACCTGGTGGGGTGGCGATTGGGCTTCAGAGGCGAGAGGCAGCTGTGCCTGGTCCCAGTGCTCATACTGCAGCAGCACAGGAGCGGGCTGGTTGCCCTCCGTCCTGTCTGCAGAGAGCTCTGCAGGGTTCCCAAAATATCTTACTGCTGCTGGCAGTGGGGCAAGCATGAAAATCAAATCGATGTGTTCAATGTGAAGCACGAGAGCTGGTTCCCTTGGTGCGGTGTAGACAGGTCTATACGGGACAACCCAAGTTTTGCAGGGGAGAGCAGGCATCCCCCGCACAGTCCTCTTGTATTTGGGATATTCTCCCTCTCTGCTTCACCAGACAATGGCAAAAGCTAAGAGGTTCTTGCTCTGTGGTTGACACATCCTTATCCAGCTGTTTCTAGGTTAGCTATATTAAGTAATTAAGCAGGAGCATCTACCCCAGATAGTCAGAAAATCAAGAGTTAGGTCCTGAAGACTGTGGAACTTAAAATACAAAGTACTGGTGATATTCATTGTGCATGTTGCATCGATTTGCTTACTGGTTTTTGAGCCATAAAGGTTTATGGCTTCAAGCTTCATCTCATACCACCAAGGGCTAGAAACTTGCTTTGTTTTTTTAAAGCACTGAGGAAAGACATGCAGGTAGCTGACTCCAGGAGATGGGACTTGAAAAGAAACCGTCCTGCAACCGCCTGGTGAGCCACGAGTGTTTGCAGACCATGATGTCACCTTTCTTGACAGTCACTCTGTACAAGTGAGATTCCTTCCCCACAGCCCTCACATCGCAGCCTTTACTGCACCAAGCTTCAGTTCTCCCCTTTACAAATTTAGGGGCTAGGGGAACATTCATACCACTTGTGTTTGCATGACAGTTGAGCAGCATTTTTGTTGTTTATACATCAGGGACACGTCCTCTGCACGGGGCAGCGCCCATGTCCCGTGCATGGCAGGGGGAGCGCCTTGGAGCAGCCGTCACAGCATGGCTGCACCCATGGGTGCTTCTGCCCATTCTTCCCCCTTTGACCACCTATCCCGCAGCCTTCCAAGTCAGACCTTCTCAAAAAATGTTCTTTGCCCAGCACTGAGCTCCCAGTGCCCCTGCAAAAAGATATTCCCTTATGCTTGTGGGAAATCTGCAGGATTGGATCCCTCGGTGGGACGTGAGTCTGAAATCTCTGTCCTGCACATGGTGGATACGTGCTGGATGGTAGCACATTTTTAAATAATTTGCTGCACTCTAATCTCCAGCCTGCAGGAGCCGAGTAAATTGATCCTATACTTTCTGAGCTAAGCTTAGTCTTTTATTGTTCGGCCAGCGTAGCTTACAGAACCGCAAGCTCCATTTTTACTGCGGACAATTGCAAGCACTGAAAGTGGGAATCACTGTTGGTAGAAAGTGCAGGTTTTATGGGTTTCCCCTTTGCCATTTCAATCTAGATGATATCATAAAACGCCACAGGAAAGAGCAAACAGATGCCAGCGCTGCAGGGGATGGGCGAAGGCAGCAGGTCAAGAACAGGAATTCGGCATATGGGTATGGACGGCCCCGTTTCCGCGCCTGGATGCAGAGGAATTTGCAAGGTAGGTGAGCGCCTTGGGATGGTGGAGGCCTGCCAAGCTGGAAAACACATTTGTGTAACAAAATACAGCTCTTAAATCCTTCTCCTGTCTAATTCCTGTGTGCGTATAAGATGTACTCGGGGTCTGAATAGCTTTTCTGTCTGCAACAATGGAATATCAGGGCCCTTTCAGAGCATAAATTCATCCATTTCTCTCCCTTCCACCCTCTCATGAATTACTAATTCAAAGTGACTTAATATCTAGTCTCTATTCCCTTTTGGCTTTGCATATTTTAATTATGCCTCTTCCTAATCCTCTTTTTCCCAGAACACACTTAAATTACCCCTTCAGTAACTGTCTTTGATAGCTCAGTTATTGGAGCTAATTTGTCTCTTTTGCCAACCATGCTATTTTTATGATGAGGTTTTTTATACTACCGAGTGATCTCACACTAATCTATGTTTGGTTGTACTAGCTTTTATCTACAAAACCAAAGTGACCTGCTGCATGAAATGCCATCTCTATCAAAATTTTGCTTTTTTTTTTTAACTACTGCTAAATCACTTCATTGAAGATTTTAGTGACATTTTGCAGCAATGTCATTGCAATCTTGCCTTGGAGTGCCAATGGCACATCAGGCCAGTGGGATTGCTAGGAGCAATCCTGCTTGTCTCCGGTCTGCCTCCCACTCTCGTGTTCTTGGTCTCCACCACATATTGCCTTACCAAGAATCATTCCAGTTCAAAACAAAATGATGATAATTGCCTTTTGCAAATTGATTTTTCTGTCAAAAACACAGGCTTTGATATTCTTCCACACTCAAGTGACTACTGCATGCAGAGTCAAATAAATCAAACAAAATATTTTTTTAGCTATTCCTTAGAAAGGAGAACTTTTCTGTTCATTTATAGATTTATTTCTGCTAGTCTTAGTATTTCATAGGTTTTAACTGAATCTGAATTCAGCCCTGCCAAGTGCAGAGACCCACCATGCTGTGTGGTGCTGATGTCAGTAGCAATTTTGGGAAGCTCAGCACGACTGGGAATTTAGCCCATAATTCTTCAGGGGCTGAAATGCAGTCCCTTCTGGGCTGAGACATGATAACCATTGTCAAAATGACGATCAGAACAGCCCAGCACTGTAATGACAGAGGCTGGAGAAGGGTATTATGCTTATTAAACCAGCAAGAGAATTCGTGCAAGTTAAGTGCTGTTATCCCTCCTGGAATATGGCTTAAACCGTCTCCCCAGTGGGGGAAAGATGATTTTTAATGACAAGAAATTTGAATTTCAAATATCCTTGGAAAAAGAGTCTGTCAGGCATCGGGGCTTCTCCCCAGACTGGACTTGCTGGGCAGAGGTGCCTCTTGGCCAACACAGGTGTGCTCAGCACCAGGCTCTGAGCGTGCACCCAAACACGGTGGGGGTCTTCCCCGGCTGCTGATGCTGTGGGGTTTTATTCAAATGTTCTTTCATTACTAAATATTTGCCAGACTTTTTGCAGAGATGGAGCCTCCCATGTGTCACACTTCAGGATACACGTGACGGACCGAGGCCTTGGTCCCCAGCTGGTGTACACGGGGTACCCCTTGGAGGCTGATGGCTCCGGCATTAGTTATTTACACCGGCTGAGGCATGCCTGAGTGCACTGCTGAGCAGAGGCTCTCTAATGCAAACTGACTGACAGGGGCATGATTTTCCAGGGCTGCCTTTTGCATCAGTCCCTCCCATTGCACCGATGAAGTACCAGGAAAGGCAGCTGAGCTCGGTCTGTCTTGCCGCAGAGGAGATGCCCTCCCCAGGGTGCAGAGAGGTGTGTTGCAAGGTTTGGTGGCCTGCAGGAGAGCGGTCTGGCAAACGGGCAAGAGAGAGGGGCGAGCCCAGGATGGGCATTGAAGGGAACAAGAAGGGGAAGAACAGACTGTGGGGACAGAACCAGGAGGAGAGAAAGGGCTGTTAAACACAGCGAGACCACATCTGGTCAAAAAGACACGGATTGCCAAAATTCAAGTGTTTGGAGAGGAACATTTACACACCTGCGCTTCTGCGGTGAGAGGGCATTGTTTGCAAAGAAAATAACGACTGGCCCCACAGGGCCTGTGAATAGTATTGCATTTTTGTGAGTGTTCCCAGCCAGCATCTCCGGCCGTAGGGATCGAAGCAACCCCGACGTGCTGTTTGGGAGGTGCTTCCCACGGGTGTGCCCTGGTGCCCTTTTGTTTTAGGGCCAGAGCAGCTCAAATCGTCTTCACTTGTATTCCAGTGTAACCAGCCCACACTGGCGCCGACCGGTGTTACACCCTGGGGCTGGAGCCTTCATTAATCACTGCGGTGGTGGCCTCTGACAGCGATGTCACCGCTGCCTCAGAGCACTTCATTTCTAATTGCTCCAAGTCATTATAAATTGTTGTGGTGTAGGAGTCGATGGTATAGGATCAATACATGCATCTAACTGCTCTGTGGTTGGTACCAGGGAGGTTCTGCTATATGGTCCAGGGTTTAACTGCAGTCTTGCTGCCCTCTGCCATGCACTGCTTTATGCCTGATTTATACACCCCTCTGAGTATGTCCGTACGTTTCACTGGTATAGCGACTCAGAAAATGTCTACTTCGTTATGACTACAGAAGTTTATCATGTGGAGTAATTAGGCTTCAATACACTATGCCTCCATCTGATGGAGTGCTTTCCTCTCGCTCGACACTTCAGCACACCTCAAAATCATAAACAGGCTTAGGGGAAAACGTTAAATGCAAGATGAGCTGTTGGTGTGTATGTTGGTGTGTATGTACTGTGCAGTTACGTAAAACAGCAGCAGAAGGTGCCCCCTTCAATATATGCGGTAAGGATATGTCAAGCTGAAAGAAACCCCATATATATATAAAAAAAATTGTGGTCCAGTCTTCACTTATCAAGTGCTATAATGTGGGCACTCAGAGCTATTCCAGGCTGTTGTGGCATTGGCTTCTGGATGCTTGAGTCACTTGCGTATCTGTATCAAAAGGCTTTTTCCATTTCACAGTTGATTCATAGCAATGTGAAGTCTGACAACAGATTGACAGGTTTCCTGATGTGAGTGTTCCTGCCTTTATTAGGAATCAGAATTGTGGAAGGCTTTTCTATATTCTTTCAAATCAAATAATGTGTTTGTCAGTCCTACATATAATAAGAATGTTAATGAGACGTTGGAAAGATAAATTATTTAATATTCTGCAAAATTACTTTTCTGGAATAAATTGATGTGATTCTTGCATCACTAGTTATGTAGATACTCCTATATCATATTAAGTTAACTTTGTAATTAATTTGCAAAACTGTAATAATAAATTGAGTTTTTAAGGATGCTAAAATAAGAGTTTATTTTTGTAGGACCTAACCGTTTTAGAAGAGGGTTTGGACAACAACAATATAATCGAAGGCAGTTCAGGAATACTGTGCCCGGTCCCAGGAGAAGACCAGCTGCTGCATTAAATGGAGTGAGCCCTTTAAATCGCCAGGCATCAGCTCAAGAGGTAGGGTGGTAAGGAAGGTACAGCTGTTCCCAAATGTCATGTAGAAATCTGCTGGATTTTATGATCCTGGATCACCCCAAAGGAAAATCTACATACATAAAAAATTTACAGGCACCATCTTTTATATGCCCATGCATAGCATTTGCAGGCATAGGTAAGTACAGACACATATGCATATAAACCAGCAATTTTCCAGTTGGTTTTATAAGCTTATGACTTGGCATAATTTTACTGAATCGGTTCCCATGGGTTTTACAAACAAGATTTTTTGAAAATGTGTTCTTAAAAGATTTTAAAATATTTCCATAAAAACAAATTCCATGTCATCTCATCTTACTATTATCGTTTAGAGGAGGTATGCTAAGATTCACCATTATTTGTCCTCCACCCAGAGCATTTACCAAGGTTCAGTAAAGTCAAAGGACAGACTGTTGTTGACTTCAGGTGGCTTTGGTTTAGAGACATATTTTTGACTAGCAAGTGGGTATCCCCTCCAGAGACACTGATTCCCAGTACTGTGATAGCCATGGGTCAGATCGCCCACGTGCTTCAGTGTAAAATGCATTTTTTTCATCCATGGCTTTCCCTTTTTCAAGTTTAAATGTTTAGGTCTTATCTCTGCTCAAAAACACTTTAAAAAAAAAGATTGAAATATTTTCATTTGGGTTTTGAGTTATTTTTAAGACTCAAGAGATTGGAAGGAAGGTACATGTTCACCATTAAAGTAATTCTTACAGCTTTCTTCTGAGTGTCACTAACATTAAACTGGCTTGGTGTAGAAGGTGGTAATCAGGCAGGTAGATAGTCCTCTTTGAGAGGGGGTTGTTTTTATCCTCACTGATGGAAATTCCATCAATTAGGAGGTCACATATGCTCAGTAAGCTTTTAAAAAAACACCGAAGTGGCAAACATGATGGCAGATTTAATGGCTGTGTCCTGTGGGTATAAGAGAGCCCTAAACTAAGCATGCATGTGCATGGAGTGTGGTTATTCCTGAAAATAAAGACTGCGATGACTCAGATATTGAGTGTGGCTGGGTATTAACAGAAAGTAATAAGCAGTTGCTAGGAGGCATAATTCTATAGTAGCTTCCATTTTGCAGAAATAAACCAAGTGGGAAGAATGTGGAAACACATCTCAGTTAGTGGGTAGTAACAGTGATGGTGGTTGTCCCACAGAAATAAAAGTCTGTGGCAATTTGTATAAGTAACTGCAGGAGGACCTATGCTGCTGAGGGGTCTTCTGATGTGCTTGATGCTTCAGGGCTTGGACTGGGCAACGTACGTGTCCAAACAAGAAAGAGTCAATGACCGAAAAGAAACCTGAGCAAAGCTATAATGCTAGGCTTGTGCGAGATTTGCACTCCATGGACTAATCTTTTTTTGTATTTCTGCACTATTAGAATGAAACATTCTTCCTGGTACTTGTAGTTTCATGCCCAGGAACCAAGACACACATACTGATTGTTGACAACAGCGTATACTAAGTCCAAATGTTGAGACTACAGCAACACTGCTCGGTAGAAATATTTCTGTCATAGATACAAAAGACCATGGAAGAGAACAGGTTTTAACAGATCTAGCGAGGAATCAGTTTCCCATCATGAAAATATCAAAGGAGGAAAAAAAGCACTTGCAGAGCAGGGTTGTTCTGTTGCAAGACTGCAGAAGTTGCAAAGGAATAACAGTTGGGAATGAGAATAGAGGGAATGCAGAGCACAGAGCATGGGGCTGAGCCCCCTTTGAAGCAATTGCAAGTGGTGCTGAACGTGTCCAAGAGCAGTGAGGGAACCTCTGCAGTGTCAGCAATCGCCACCTGCACTTAGGAGCAGGCTGGATTTCCTCCTAGACAGAGCTATAGAAAATGCCAAATAAATGCACCCGCTTTTCAGGCAGCGGCAGTCGGTGGAGGGAAGGGCGGTTGTGTGCTGTCGCTCGTGCTCACTCCCTCTTTGTGCATTGAGATTGCAGGACGGGTGGCAATTGCTGAGCTCTCGCTGCTTTTTCAGGGCAACAAGAACAACGATGCTTTCGCCAAAAGCAGCAGCAGCGGGCAGCCAGAGGGACGGCGACGGCCACCCCCAGGGCCCAAGAGATTTAGAGCAGCTGCTGCCAGCACCAACGCCCCAGGGAGAAGGTAAAATCTTTGGTGACTGTGGGCTTCTTTGGTTTTCAGTGATTCCTTGTGCAGCTCCTGGGGCTCTGCTCTTGGTCAGCTGGGAGTGGCTACAGCTGTCTCTTCATGCAATGTGAGAAAAATACCCTTGGGTATGTTAGGAAAGCACCTGGAAATAAAATAGCCTTATGCTGATAGTTCATAATTCAGGTATTCGATCTGTCATTTTATTTTAGAAAGCACGGAAAATGTGACCTTTGTCTTTTTATTAAACTTCTCCTCTGTCACTTTGGGGAAAACTTTTGAAGGGTGAAATAGCATTTCTTTTCATAGAGCCAGGAAATACAGACTCCAGCCGTAAGGGATAGGCAGGGAGAGGGAGTCTGTCCTGGTGAAGGGCTGCAGGAGCAGACGCTGCACCCCAGGAGCTGTGACGAAGGCAGGCTGCCGCGTACTGGGCACAGTCTTGCTGCCTGTCTCATTGTGGTCCTTGTGTTCTCCGAGCTCAAAAGGAAGCTCCGCTGCAATCCCATCTTTCTCTGCTTTGAGTAGAGCAGGGACTGAATGACCTCCAGAGGTCCCTTCTGACCAAATTTTTTTCTACGGTTTTCTTCCATGATTTTTTTAACAAGCAGAGTTCAGAACAAACACAAGCTGTTGTTTCATTTGAGCAGAAAAACGAGTTCCTCTGAAATCCTTTGCTGGCAAAAAAACTTGTTGGGCTGAACTTGGTAACGCACAGCCTCACTTGCTTCTCATACTGCTTTTTAATACCACGCTGGGTTAGGTATTTCAGCATTAAACTTTAGGAGAGACCTGGCATCATATTCACCTATGTCCTTTTCTCTCTCCTCCTTTATCAGCAGGCCTTTCGTGCTAAACAGGGGACCAGCCTTCCAGCAGAAGCGGATGCAGCAGCGATTCTCCAAAGCCAACTTTCAGAGAGGGGTCAGTATCGAGACTTTTTTTCTGCAACATGCTGATGGTGACAAACCTTCAGTTTTACCAGCCTTTGCCCAGTTGTATCTTTGCTTCCAAAAGTAACTGGGATGACTTTAACAATGAATATATTCCTAGGAAAGTATTTGCAGGACAGGCAATTTTTAATGCAGCTTAATATTCTGACAGCTGGAAAATAAAACCTGGGCAGGTGATAAAAGTAAACCTTGCAGCTTATACAGCAGCACAAGCAGCGCAAAGTTAAGCCACCCCATACAGATCGCTGTGCCAGCAGGAAACCCAAAATTAGCGAATTTCTTGACAACGTGCAAAGAAAGCGCTATTCAGATATACCAAATGAAATACTGGAAAAGGAATCATTGTTTCTGAGAGCTAATTCTTTAAGTCATTTTTTTTAAATATATTTCACAGCAGATGGATGCTAATGGAGAAGGGAAACCACCAAGGATGAGAAGGTAATTGGTGAACAAAGGCATGCTGCAAACATGACGTGCTCTTTCATGCTCGAATTGAAGCTGGATACATCTCCCTGTCTCGGCAGGTGGCAAGTGAAACCCAGCCCCGGAGCAGTTCTGACGGTTTCTGTGGCTAATCCCCAGGCGGGCCAGACCGGCGCGTAAGTAAATGAGGTGATTTGTTAGGATGGGAGCCCTACAAAAGCCATTGCAAATCCTTTTAGCATTATTGCAGCTTCGCTTCTTCTATTAGAGTGCGCAATGAATGGTTCAGGCCCAAAATGGTTAGCAAATGATGTCTCGTTCCCTTCCTGGCATATCTGAAAGGAGACGGTAATTACCATGCGGCTTGTTTGCTATCCAGAGTAAGGAGAAATGGAAGTGCCAGCAGCGTGTGGGAGGTGGCAGGCTGGCTGTGCTCGCTGTGAGGTGTCGCGGGGGAAATGCCGCACGCCCCGAAGCGACACTGCATGCTTGCTGTGTCAGAGGAGTGCAGACGCTGGGAGGGGGCGGCTTCACCCCTGGGCTGAGCCAGTGCAGCTGCTGGACCCGGCACCCACCCAGGGGTAGAAAGAAGGGTGGGTGAGGGCATTTGGCATGTCCTGGGTGCAGAGAGCACCCCGTGATAGCCTTGATGTGACACAGTCCCCAGTGCTGGAACTCTGCCTGCACGGCAGCTCTCCTGGCACCCTTCAGACTCTCCCAGGCTGCCGTGAGACATGCCATGGGATGTATGGGGCATGCGGGTGTCTCCTTTACTCCTTGCTGGTTTGCAGACGATAGGAAGCGAGCTGCCTTAGCATCCTGAGTGACTTCAGATCTGTGCTTTCCCCAGGCCCGGATCCAAGCGCCCATTCCTGCGAAGCCAGAGGCCCCCGCCGCGGGTGGCCAAGCCCCAGCCCAAGGGAGTGCTGCTGAGATTCAACTTCCGTGCGATGGCCAACCAGGTAGAGGATTGTCGACAGGACAGGCAGCACCTTGCACCCTGCAGCAGCCCTGCCGCTAAGCTGTTAACATCACGCTCAGGTTTTTGGGGCTGCCAGTTGGGTTTATCTAGCATAACCCGGGAGGAAAGTCCTGTGGCCATGTTGGCTAGGTTGCTCACAACACTGAAAGCACCTGAGAAGACTATTCTGCAACTACAGACTCAGCCCAGTTTTCCCCACTCTCTTGGCCCTTCTTGGCCTGTCCATGTGCTTTCTTGGAGCGGGGAGATGCTGCTTGTGAGTGGTCCTGGCCGGGGCGGACCGTTTCACTGTCGGTGCTCCCCACTCCTCAGAGACACACAGCACTTCTGGGCTTTGCTCTCTCTTTGCTTTGGTGACCTTCTTGGTGCCTTGTTTTATGCTGAAGTATGGTCCAAGAGCCCTGAGGCAGGTCAGAAATCCTGCTCCACCTTCTTCATTGCCGGCGTTTCTTGTCTGGACGGTTTGGTTTTACTTGATGCCTTGTGCTCAAATGCCATCTGCTTGTTCCTGTTCTTGCCGAGGACGCCCAGTGTCTTGGGGCTGGGAGGTTTTCCAGCCACACACAGTCTGTCGAGCTCCTTGTCTCCGTGTGCTGAGTGGTTTAATTGACTAACTGGCTGTGAAGCACCGTCCTGACTGATGGGCTCTAATCAATACCCTGCTACAAGTTTGGTCATGCTTTGCCACGAGACGTGGGACTGACTCGCTCTCCCTTTCCCCTGCAGACCAGCCTGACGCTGGATGAGAGATTCTCTGGTCTGAGGAATAAGAGGCGCTTTACAGCAGCCAGGAGCGCCGGCCGGACAGTCACCATGCCTTAGCACTGCATGCTCGTCACAGGGACTGCCCATAACAGTCCAGGCCCTGTAACGGGCAGCTCAATAAAACTCGATAGATTTCCTCTGAGATAGCTAATTTGGCAATGTGCCGTCTCCTTCCTTACACACAGAATGAATGAGCGATTGAGGGCAGGGATGAGGGAGGATGAGAGTTGGGGCCAGAGCACAGGGCAGGTGGGACATGAGCAGGGTGGTGGAGGGGGATGAGCGAAGATGGATTTGCTGGGAGTGCTCTGCAGGGGAGCTGTGGGGCTGGCACCAGCCCTGTCCCCCTGCCAGGGCACCCCGTGCTGCCTGGGGTGACTCCTGCAAGAGGGAGGGGGGAACATCTCCAAGCCATACCCAACAAGCCTTCCCTGTGTTGTCCCATGGGTGGGAAAGGGTTGAGGACACTGTGCCTGCCTGCGTGGGAGACAGAGCGGGAAGTGGAGCATGTGCGGGGCTGAGGGACGTGCCCCAGCAGTGGCACCAGTGGGGATGCTCCAACTGCCCATGTTCCCTAGCATCCATCTGATTGCCCCATTTGTTGTGTGTGCAGGCATCCCTGCCCGGAGGTTTGCAGTGTAAGAAAGACCTCTCCATCCTGAAAATGTCTCGCTCTGCCCCAATAGTCAGGCCTGAGCACCTTGCATTTCTCTTTGGTTTGCTGTGCTGTTCTGACTGCTGCTGCTGGCCCAGTTGCGGGGATGGGGTGAGACGTGCCGTGCCATGCCTCTGGAGTGACTGTCCTCGTTGCGGAGCACAGACAGGCTGCCCCAACCCAAATCAGGTTTTCCAGTGCTGCATTAGGGATTTCATAGGTGCAGCTCCACCCATGCTCAAAGCACTGGCACAACTGAACTAGCAGCTGCAGGAGAGAGGCCAGGCTCCACAGCAGTCTGATGAACATTGGCTGAGATGTTAATGAGGTGGGTCTAGACATTTGTTAATGAAGCCCTGCACCAACCGTGAGTCACTGGTCCATTCTCCATCCACTGCTGTAACCCAGCGCTGAAAGTGCTGGACACAGCCTGTTACTGGGCTCCAAGCTATACTTATTAAAGTAAATATTTGATAGACTGCTTTACATTTTACACTGAGCATCTTTAACAAGAGACTGGACTCGATGTTGATTTTACAGGAATGTGTGAAATGTTGTTAGTTGACGTGGTGATGTACGAGTCCAATGCACTGAATAAAAGACTAACTTGTCAAATGTCACCTCTGTTTATTTCCCTTCCTTCAACAGGCTTTTGGTGCAAGTTCAGCCTCGCAGCGTGACAGTGCGGGGCACAGTACGCGTGGCTGCATAGGCTGCTGCCTTGGTGCTTTGGGGGAGGCCGTGGTCCCCATCAGTGCCCACCCCCAGGCAGTGGGGCAGTGGCCTGGCCATGCAGGCAGTTTGCAGCTCACAAAGCTGGCTCCAAAGCACAGCCAAAGCAGTGGGAGGTTTTCAACAGGTATTGTGTAAAATCTTTGCTGTGATCTCTTTTGCCTTTAACATTATCAGCAAAATTATCAGAGCAAACCTGGCTCTGCGTATGTCCAAATGAAAACGAATGCAAACTGACTTCCAGGTTAATGAACTCGGGAGGAGACATCACCGCTTCATGCAAATGATCTGGATGTTATGGAAGATGAACAAGAAACACTGTCACAAATGGCAGTATCCCTGATTTCAGTTGCGCCTCCCCTGTAAATATTGACAAAAGATGGTAGACTTGCTAATAAAACCTGATCCCTTCTTAAACCAGCTTGCAAAGGGATGGAGCCGTTCAGTCCTGAAAGAACAGCTGAGCGTGCAGCATCCCCTCAGTGTTCAGAGCATGCCCTGATCCTATGCTCCAAATAAACGTTTTTCAGCAATCTGTACCTTATAATTTTTTTAAGTACTCCTTAAATAAAATTGAGGGCTTAATGGTAAAACCCACTCTTTTCCTAGCTTGATTCCCCTGCCAGGGCTGGGTGACACTTTGCACGCAGCAAGAGCCGGAACAGGCTTTACACAGAAAGGGCACTGAATTTATAAGTAGCAAAAAAGCATAACCGTCGTGCTAAAAACATACCGGGAGAGGGCACAGAGTCAGTTCACTCCAACAGGCATAAAATACCCCTGAACTAAAACCAGGGGATAATTATCTCTAAAATTATGCCTGCTGCCGTGCCTCGGGCGGACTGCTGCGCAGAGCCCGGCTGCTGCTGGGGGAGGGTGTTTGCGTGCGGCAGCCCAGCCCGCTGCTTCACCCACCGCCCGGGGGATGGGTTCGTCCCCCAGCGGTGCCCGGTGCCCGGCTCGGCCCGGCCCGGCCCGGGTCTCCGCTCCCCTCCCTTCCCCTCCCCGGGAGGTGGCAGCAGGCGGCTGCGGGCCGAGCCCCCCGCCGGGGCGGCTGCTCTGGGGCTGGGGCCGGCGGCGAGGGGCAGCTCTGCGACCCGGAGAACGTTTCTGCTCTGGTTCAGGCCAGCCAAAGCCGTCTGCAGGGTAACACCTCTGATGGGGGCCGAGAGGTTTAAGAACGTTGGGGCAGCTGTAGGGGGCCAGAAGAGGGTCCCCGTAGTGCGGTCCAGGGGAGGGGGGACACCAGCACATGCGGGTGGCCCCGGTCGTCACTGCACTGACCCCACAGTACCGGTGGTTTCTGTCCTGAGCCACTCGTGTCACTGTGTTTCACAGCATTTGGTGGGGTTTTCTTCCACTGATGCTTTTTGCTGTTTGCTTTCTCACTACTTGTCTATGCCTCCAATGGCCAGCATTACAAGTGAATGAACATTGCTTTACGCCCTTTGTAATTTATAGACCTGTACTGCGTTCTCCCTTGCCCACACCTCCTTTCTAGGAGAAGAGCCTCGGTGTATCTACTCGTCCGTGGCCTCGAAGCTGATCCATCCCTCTGGTCACCTTTGTACCTTTCCTAGCTCTGCTACATCTGCCTGAGAGAGCAGGGCTGAAGCAGACACGATATTTGAGATGGATTTATACAGAGGCTCTGCTTTGTTTTCTGTTCCTCTCCTAATAATTCCTAACATTCCAGTTGCTTTTGAACCCAGAATAGCCACTTGGAGCAGGAAATGGTAAGGCACATTTTTACTGGTTTAATGAAACAAGTTTCCAGGGAGCGGTTTCTGCAGAAGCCAGTCTCGCAGCCCACATATTGGTGGTAGAGAGGGCACCTGGAAAGGCTGGCTGCGAGAGGACAGCCCAAGGGTGCACTTTCCCATCTAAGCTGACGTTCAGTATTTTCTTAGCTGTTCATGGGATGTCTGGTTTGATGCTAAAAGCTACCTTTAATGAACTTAACAGATAGGGGGTAGAAGGCCAGCTTTCCCTGCGAATTTCCCCGTTTGTCAGTTCTTGCTGATTTTAGTGTCGTATGACCGGGAGAAGATATGCATCAGGTTACTCCCCAGGATTTTGGGGCACGCGTATTGCAAAGCTAGCACAGGGCAGAGTCCTAAAGTGGTGCCCCAGGAGCAGCATGGCAGTAGGGGCCTCAAGAAGAAAAATGTGTGGTTTGGGGCAGACCCGTTGGTCAAATCCATCCTGGTAACAAAGCAGCAGCCAAGGCATCACACACGGGGGCTGGCAGCCTCTCCTGCATTGCACAGGGGTCCTTGCACCGGCATTTTGTCAGACTGGCTGCAAAACGGAGTCAGGCAGGGCAGGAACTGGCTGCCCGGACTCAAAGGTGCAGGGGGAAGCATCAGTGGAGGTGGAGTCCACTGTCAGCAGCAGGAGTTGTTAGTTTTTAGGGGTCCTTGGAGGGACTCAGACAGCCAGAAACCACAGACAAAATATTTAAACAGAAACCTGAGATCCAAACAGCATCTCAGGCACTGCAGTTCCCTCAGGGGCTGGGATAAACTGAGCTACAAGTAGAGCATTCGCCAGGCAGCAACCCGGTAGAAGAGTGTCACAACAAGCTGAGAAAAGACATGCAAACCCCTAGACTGAAATGTGAGGGGTGCCCCAAACTGGACCCCAGACAGCCAAACAGCCTGGAGGGGGGAAGCAGTCTGTGGAAGGTCGAATGGTACTTTACCAACTCACTTATTTCCAGAAATCTCATATCATTTCTGAACAAACCAGCGTGCTACCCCATCACAGCGCTAGGTGAGAAAGGGATGTAGGAAAGTGCTACAAACCTGAAGGATTTACCACAATTTCCTAGAGGACCAGAAAAACTTAACAGCATCCCCCCAGACAGCACTGGGCAATCCCAGCCCCTCCAGTTGAGGTGTTGCAATGGGCAGGATGCCCGGCTTTCACGGCTAGCCCTGCTCCAAGCCAGCATTAGCTTTGTCAGGAACCCGCGCCCCACGCTAGGTGCAGAAACTTGGCTCCGCTTTGTACCCTGGGAAAGGGATAGTCTCTTTCCAAGTTCAACTAATAGGCCTTTAACTTCCATTTGCAAGACAGAGAGTTATTTTTCCCCATTGCAGGTTGCATTTGCTGAAGTCTTATTCCCACTGTTCATCTGGATCAACTCTGACCACTTTTATAGGCAACATAACATAAAGTGCTAAAATGTGGAGGCAAGACGAACAGAAAAATCAGATTTGGGCTTTATCCACTCAAGACCAGAGGTTTAGGATTTAGTATTAAGCCATGTCCTAAAGCAGATCCTTCCTAGCTATGTCAGGACTGCTGCCAGCTTTCATGATTTTACTGAAAGTCTTGTGATGTTTAATGGTGCAAGTTAAAACCCCGGTTCCTGGAGGCAGGTCAGGAGGTGAAAATCTTGGCTTGCCTGTATTAAAAGTCAATTTGCCATGCTGTGGCTGTGTGGGGAAGACTGTGACCCAAGAGTAACTTAAAAGCTTGGGTGTCAGATGCCAAAAAACCAAGGAAACTCTTAATTATTTTTCTTGAATGTCATGTTTAAGTCAAACTCATGATGTTTGGAGCTTGACTCGTGACTCTGAAACGCTCAGAGCAACGGCTGGGCCAGAATTAATCCACAGTCATGTCTCATTGTGAATGGGAATCTCTGCCACCACCAGCACTTGGAGACCTTTGTACTCACATTCCTCGTTGCGGCAGCACTTTGTTGCACTGCAGTAATAGCCCCAGCTTGTTGCAGAAGCACGTATGCCTGAGAAACATGAGATTTGCTCTTTCCATAGGTCAAGACTGGAGAAGAGGATGTTCACCTCTAAATCACACCAGGCTGCAACTATTAACCCCCCTCTTGCCTGGCTCCAAGAGGAAGACGACAAGGTGCAGGTTCCCCACCCTGTGCCTTCAGATGAGCAATGGCACTGTCACTCTCCTGCCACCCATCGCCGGAGGCTGAGGATATCCCTGACTCTGGCCATGGATTGAGGAGGTGTACCATGGGATGAAGATGGAGTGTGGTGACTGGCAGGACCTCCAAGGGGAACCTAGTCTGGGATGGGAAGTGAAGCCAAGCGCCGAGGAGGGAGGGAGGCTGCTTTATGTTATCTATGAGTTTATTTGCAGCTGGTAACATCTCACCCAGCTGCTCCAGGAATAGAGCTTTTTGTCATTCTTGCTGGCAGCGTTTATAAACCTTGTGGAGCCTACTGTGTTACTAGCAATGCCAGGAAAAGGTGAAGCTCTGCACATATTTTGTCCTCCCAGTGACTGTCATTGGAGAAATAATGGGCTGCCAGAGCCAAGGGGTTTGGCAATCCACAGGACCTGGGGCAGGCAGGCTCTCCCTCCCCTTCTGCCAGGGGCATCTAGCACCCCCTGCTCTGAAGACCCTTCCTAGCTTCAGTTTTCCAGCCTAAATAAGTTTGTGGCCATCTCTGCCTGTTCTTGAGTCACCCTTGTCCTCTGCTGAAATGGCTTTCCCCTCCCTGCTGTCCTGTGTCCCCCCAGGAG